CTGGGCATGGAAGAAATTCTAGCAGCTTCTCACAGAAGCCACCCCTCTACCCCACCCTCACCCACACTAACAAAACCCAATACAGCTCCCAAACAAGGGAACTGTTTCTTCTCCATAGAAGCAGTTTGGTGTGGTACAGTAGACCCTTCTCATTGTCTATTCCATGTTTCTGAAGAGCTCCTCAAACAATTCTTCCAGGATCACACAATAAACTGATAGCTAGTATTTCGTTTCTTGTATCTGGTAAGATTCTTAAGATGTACAGAAATACACAATAGGGGATTCAGCTGTACTTTTGCTGGGCACACAGATCTCCTATGACTGTATTTTGCCTTATGGTGTTCATCTTGATTCACAAATTGCCTTTAGGAGGAGACACCATTGTAAAGTATACATCATGCAGGTTTATCTATCGAATGAGTTTATAATATGCAGTGGATGATTTTTTATTTTTTTATTTTATTTATTTTTTTTTTAAGAAAAGGTATCTCTGAGACAGCACCAATACATCTCTGAGCGAATCTGGTAAAATTAAAAAGTCCTATTTGGTATTCTGTTTATTTTTTTACCTGGCACTTCTGCTTGCTGAAACTCTGGGCAGAGCCTATAGTTGCAGATATGATTGCTGCTGGCAGCAGAATGAAAAGCATAGCTTTTGTTCACAAACAGAACTTTAGCCTTGCTGTTGCAGTAAGAAATCTTAAAGCCTTATAAAACTCCCTCTTGCCTTTTTGCAAGTAATCACTAATGAGAGCCAGGCCTTCTGACAGTCCATCTTAGATGGTGCAATTCCACAGGCTATTGATTTCTAAGCATTCAATAAGTAATTTTTAGAGAAAGAATTGTGTGAAGTTTTTTTTTTTTACTCTTACATATGGAATACTTCTGGTTTTGCAAGTTATAAATAGCAAAGCAATGTTTCTTTCATTGAAGAACTGGATATATTTTGTTTCTTGACTATATATTTTGGATATGTACCCGATAATATACACTAAATTAAACTGAACAGGTTCTGGATGAGTTTGCACAATCAATCCTGCATAAGTGAAAATGGAAAAAAAATGTTAAATACAACAGGATTTAATATTCCAGTGTTGATGAAATTGTATGACATTTTCTGGTTAAAGAGTTCTTTATTTGGGGTGAGGGCCTTCAGTGGAATGAAGAAAAAAAAGTATTCAAATTGAGTATTTAAAATACATAAGTACTCAGTAAAGTTTTCTGTTATACACAGTGATATGAATCTGTTGTTTTCTGCACCTCTATGAATATAATTTCCAGAAGGGAAGCATTTATAAATCTAAGTCTCTGTTTATGCAGAGGAATGTGGTATAATTTCAAGTCATGTAAATTCTCTGTTTCAAAGTACTTCTTGTTATTCTTTTGTTCAGGATATGGTTTAACTACTGGTTTTACTAATTACTTAACAAGAAAGGTATTGGTAGCTAAATCTGTCTGTGAAGTCCCTTTTTCACTGGCATTTTCTCTTTAAATCCTTGACAATATTACTTTAGCTTAATGGTTTTAATTTCTCCGTTCTTCAAATCAGTGTTTTTTCTTGTAGAAGAGGACCATTTTGGAGTCAGATGGTTTAGATTCTCTATTTTTTTTTCATTTTTGTTTACATTGTTTTAATATCTGAGATGGCTCAAAGACTGGATTTTTCTCTACACCTGCAGGCTCTTTAATAATTTATCTTTTAAGAGCAGGATGCTGTTCTTAGCACTAAAAATAGTCTGTACAAATATGCTAAAGTATATTTTTTCCTTTTTTGTTTTTTTTTTTTTTTTAATTATTATGCAATATGCACTCTGCTTTGCCATTTCATAAAAAAAAAATCCTTTTAAGATTATTGGTTATTTGCAATGTTGATAATTTTTGTGAACCTTTTAGCATTCTCATGCTGCAGTCACCCTTCAGTAGTATTGCTATAATCTTGGGAAAGGTTTGATTTCCTTATTTCTGTGCTATTAACTAAGTTATTTAAAGTGTTTTAGGCTGTACAACTCCCAAATGTTTGAAATTTCCACACTGAGTTCAGGTTTTGCACTTACCAGCTGAGGAAGATTATTGAAAAAGTCCACCTGGAGTCTGTCCAGTTCACTGATTACAGGCTTTTGAGTTACACAAATGCTAAAAAGGGTTTTGAAAGACTTAGGAAATTTTCAATCAAAATTGTGTTGGAGTTGCTGCTGAAAGCAATCACAAAGCCTCTCACTCCATTTGTGGTTTGATTTGCTTGCACCTAAACAAGAGCAATATATGCAAAGAGAAAATGTGATTTTCTTATTGCTATTTGGCTCTGAGTAACTAGATATGCCTTTCACAAACTGGTAATTGGTAATAAATGGTATTTGCTTTAACTAATTCCGACTTTAACAAGTTGCTATCTGAATTTAAAGCATTGATTATGCACACAGACCATTTGTAACGAAACAGAGATAGCTCCTGAATAGGAGTAGCAGACTTTTTATCTGGGCTTTCTTAGAAAATAAATAAAAGATTAACTTATTGTCTTCTACCAAGCTTATTGCTTGCTATTTTTCATGATAATATTTAAAATATGCTTTGGTTGTTGGTTGCGTGCTTTTGAGCAGTCATTTATTGACTTGCTAAGTGACAGATACACTGAGTTAGTGGGTAGAAAGAGTTGCTTATAAATGGCTAGCAGGAAACAGCAAAATTTGTGGCAAACACTGCCTAGCAATTCAAGAACAAAATAGACTAAGCTTGTTACAGTGCAATCTTACTTCACAGGACCAGCCTAAATTCAATCAGGGTAGTTCTCTTTTTCTGACCTGGAAAAGACAGCATTTTGAATAGCCAAAAAAATTCAGGACTAGTAGCCTGTCTGTTAAAATTTAAGCTGACCTAAACCTACCTTCTGAACTAACAAACAGTATGAACCCATTAAGATCTGCTCATTCCTGTTACTTTCCTTTCTCAGACCTGCTGTTGTCAGTTCTAAATTTCTCATAGGAGAGGAGGAAACATGTCTGTTTAAACCTATCAACCTCATTTATTAGGCATTACTTTATTTCTTGTGAATTACTTGACATTCTAATTCTCCGGCAATAAAACTAAAGAAATCTGTGTATGGCTACAAATGTAAAATGGAAAATAAAAAAAAGAAGAACTGAAATATCTGCCCTCTGCCCATTCTAGTGAGCTTAGCTCTGTCAGTAGAGTTTTGTGGGAAAGCATCTGTTGATCAACCAAAGATGTGAAAATAAACTTGGATTTCTGATCAACATGGTTGATCCAGAACACATAAGCAAATTATGTCACTCACAGAATGCATGTGTTTGTTTTATCCTGGAGGAAATATCTGGCCTTAAGTACTTGACAATATAACAATATTACCTGTAACAGAATTAAGCAAATGTTTGTTTCTAAATCACCATTTTTTAACTACTTCTGTTGGGGAATCACATTTAATAACATTTTGCCAGTTCAGTTTCCTATAGACAGTCTCATGCACATTAAAACCTTTGAAGCATAAAAATAAAAATATCAATTAATTTAAAACAACTGATAATTTTTCACTATCCAACTTAATGTTACAAAAGTGAATCTACTTATTTTAAATGCAGTTTAAGTAAAATGAATTTTAAATAATAACTCATTCTGTTAAGACCTGTACATGGCACATAGGTGGTGAGGGGAGTGAGATACAGAAGTACCTGTGTTGGCTGCCTGTGAAATTATCTGCATGTCACCTTCAATCATGCAGGATTCCAGCTACATTAAAGGAGTGCTGTGAAGCCTAGTGATTCCTGTGACAGAAAATGGACCAGCCCTTCTTCCTTAAACCTGCTGAGCCCTGGACAGTGTCTGTAGGAGACTATGTGGAATGCTTTTGTACAAAACATAATTCAAAAGCAAATCACTAGACTAGCATGTCTCAAGGATTTGGGGGGTTTTTATTATTTGTATTTTATAACTGCATTTCATTCTGATTTTCAAGAATTATTATGTTTAGGTACTTTTCATTGTTTTTTTCCACCACCAGGAGTGTTGACTGCATTTTCTTAGGCATCTTTTGATGTAATTTTTTGAATGTAATACATACTGAATTCAAACCTGGAGTAAGGAAACTGTTGTATTATTACTGTAAATAAAAAATTTAAAAAAAAAAAAAAACAACAAAACATTTCTTATGTGCTCCTTAATATTTATATTCCAATAGAATATATAAAATGAGATTTGTTTGAATTTATTTATAATATTGTTTCATGTGCTGGACTATGATTTGTTGTCTACTGCTCTTCTATTGATTATGTAAACTCTCTTGTATATATTTATTTAAGAAAAAAATTAGCTTCATTTGTGAAATATTTCATTTTCAGCACTATAAGTTATATATATAATCTTAAGGCTTTCATTTGAATCCATCTCATTACATATTTGTAAAAGAAGAGGGTATCTTCTGTGTTGAGAACTGTTTAAAAATTCTAACATAGTTTCCTGTTTTCCTCGAGGACTAGTGCTTCCTGACACTTTGATTTTCCACTGCAACACTTAACTGAGTAACTTCAAACTAGGAATAGATGGCTATATAATGCAAAACAGAACAAAACATTTTTCTCCTGTTTATTTTTTTTCCCCTTTTAAATATAGACATAATTATCTTTGCAGGCTAAATTCAGTTTTTATTAATAAGTATTTTGGATAATAAGTAGGTGTGTAATTTTTCATTGTGAAAATAATCAGAATACATTACAGATTAAGTCAATTAGAGTTTTATTTTTCTTTCCCAAGGGGTGTAAAATGAATGTGATTTTGAGAAAGTAAACTAGAGTATGTGCTTAGAATCAGTGAGAGATAGGATTACTTTTTCCATTTGTCTCCCAATGCAGTAAGGTTTTGCTATCTTGTACTTACAGTGATGAGAACAGGGAAAGGTTGTACTGATTTACATGTATCAGATTCTAGAAGCTGTGATGGAGTCAACACTTGGTCACATCTTACCAACCTGGAGTTTCTCTTGTTCTTTACAGACTGTCAGGAGCCAGCCACCCCTTGCCACCCCACTGTGACATGGACTCATGTAGCTCCGAGGAATTCTACCAGGCTGTTCACCACGCAGAGCAAACCTTCAGGAAAATGGAGAGCTACTTGAAGCAGCAGCAGCTCTGTGATGTTATCCTGATTGCTGGGGATCGCAAGATACCTGCACACAGGTAGGATATAGGCATAAGACAGAAATTAAAAAAGTTAATATAGTTTTGGGTATCTGTATTTCTTAGAACAGTGTTTCCTGTTGCCCCTTATGATTGTTTCCTCTTTCTTTAAACACAAGTGTAAGTGGCTGGAAAAGGTGGGCTTGAAGATTGGGGCTTTGAAGGTAAGGGTTTTTTGTACAGATTTTAAAAGTTCAAGTAGCACTCAACTAGCAAACTGATGGTGAGTGTGTCTAACAATTCTCCCTACTGTGATGTTATTCTTATGTGAAGAGAATGTGAATTTCTGAAATGGTGTGCTGTATAGCTGCACTGAACAGCATCATTTCTAGCTTAAGATCCTGATCCTCTGATAAGTCTGTTGTACAGAGTCTCTCAGACACTTATAGTAGAATACAGAATACTTTCTTCCTATGACCTATGCCATTCAATGACCTAAACATTTCTTATTTATTTTTAATTATTGGGATAAAAATTATAGTACATTTTAATTTCTAAAATTCTGTAAGATTGTCTGATATTAAAGCAGCTGGTATTTATGAAACTATGGTTTCATAAATAATTGGTTTTGGTTTTGGATAAAACCAATTGGTTTTGGACAAAAATTAAACTTATAATAGTTATTCTTCATTGAGATTTTGGTCTCAGAAATAGGTTTTCATTTAATGCATGAAAATAAAAATATGATCCTAGAGTTTAGATTAAAATACAGAGAATAATTCAGAATTTCCAGGTGAGCAAGTATTTTTGCATCTGAACTCTGCATAAGGCTGCAAACCAAGGGTAATCTATTCCCTGCTTGTGTCCTGATTTCTCTGGTGAGATACTAAATTCAGAGCGGGATTATGGCTCCGAAGCAGGAAGTGAGAAAAACAGCCAGTGCATTTCTGAACTCATAAATTAACTTCCTGGTGCAGAGGAGTACTCTAGGGGCATCTTGGCAATTGGACCTTACAAAGTTCTTTTTGCCCTGAGTGAATATGGACACAGAGACTATTTCTGTTAAACAAAGAAGCTGGACAGTCTATATTCCAACTCCTATAACAGTAAGTAAAAGAAAAAAAAAAAAAAAACTTGCAATATACAAGACTGCAGAGCCAAAGTTATTTTCCAAATGCTAAGAAGTAAAACCAGACAGAATCTTCATTAATATATTTAAATCATGGGGATTTTAAAATTAGTTTTTTCATTTCCCCTATTATTTTTAATAGAGCTGTTCATGTTTGGATGCACACCTTTTAGTAGTAAATTTAATTTCACATTTGTCATTTCAATTCTACAGTATATATAGATCCTTCCTGAGCTGAAAACATGCCCTAATAAGAAGACTAACCATGAAATAATACCCATAATCCTATTTAGATTTTCTAATAAACCTTTGGACACCTTTACATGTAATTTTCTACTTCTCTGTGGTCTGCAGTCAAAATTCCAAATCTCAACTGCAAAAGTTTTGATAGTGTTTATTCTATGTTTGTTTAGACAGGTGTGTCTGGACAAGCACAGTGAGTTGCTTATTTTACTGTAGTCATTACAATCCTAGAAATTACAGACTCAACTTGCCCTGCTCAAAGTAGGGTCAACTGCAAGGTTAGACCATTGAGGTCATACACAGCTAATTTTTAAATATCATCTCTTGTGGACATTCCTCTCTTGTTGGCCTGTTCCAGTTTTTATCATCCTCATTGTTTGTAGTGGTGCAGGATGTGTCATCCAGGCCAATTTGCTCCATGATCTTGATGAGGCAAATAAGTCTGTAGGTGCCTATGTCCTTCTTAGGGGTTTACATGGAAATTGACTTTTCCAGTCTTTAGAAACTTCCTGCAATTATCATGATCCATTACAGATAGGAGAGAGCGGCCCTTGAGTAACACTGCAGAGCTTCCTCCAGTAACACACCTTAAACTTGTCCTCAAAACACACCATAATATAAAAAAAAATAATATTTAAAAAAAATCTGAGACAAATAAAGCTTTTTTGAGCAGTGCACAAAATCTTTCAAAAGTTTTACATTTGCTTCCAAGGTACTTACAGAAACACTTCTTTACTATTAAATCCCTTACTGTCTTCATCTGTACATGATATTTGGGCCTCTCTAATTCAGTTTTTTTATGTTTCTGTATTTCTCTCACATCATTCATCTCTGCTTTCCTTTTCCATGTACTCCTGTTGTGCATTTGGGAAGCAAATATTGTTCAGAACTATAGTGGCATGATCAGAGTAAATGAAATTTTTTAATCAAGCAATAATCACATGGGTCAACATAAAATTAAGAATATGTGTTTGCCATCATTGATTTGGTTGTTCTGAGTGAAGTCAATTTACATGAATTGCACTGGTTTTTGATAACTGCACTAGAAATGCTGTATTCTACAGCTGCTGAAGACACATCAAAAATCCTGGGAAGAAAAGAGCTAAAGTGACTGAAAATGATAGATGGACCTTAATATTTGTGCTGGAGAGTTCATTAAAACTTCCATCTAGGACTGCATAAATATTAGAGCATCTCTAAACTCAGACTGTAGTTTAAGACATTTTGATTATTAATGCTGCACAAAACAAGATAGGAACTCTATGCTGAAGGGAAACAAAAAAAGAACAAATGTGATATAAGGCTAAAATTCACTTGCCCCTATCCAATTAAAACACTCCCATATAACAGAGACTGGATTCAATAACAAAAAATTCAATAGAATCAGAAAATGCAAAGAAGATGTAGAAGGAGAGTTACATCCTCAGCTTATATTTCTGACTTCCATTGCAGTTGTTGAGAAACCAAGAAATCTACTTTTGTTGTTGTTATAATATAGTCAGATATAATTGAGTGCATAATGAGAAATACAAGTTTTTATTTACTGTTTTCTCTTAATTAAAAAAAAAAAATAAAAGGTTTTTTTTTTCTTTCCAATACTCAAGAAAAGGATCATGGGGAACTCCTACCATGGCAGAAAAGGTAGTATAGAACTATTGGAAAATTACCAATAACATATGAAACAAAGAAATACTTTTGTAAGGTTACCCAAACTTTCTACTAGTATTTGAATGACATAAATGAAGATAAATTTAATAAAACTCCTTCAACAAAAGGCAGTTAGCATTGTCTGTTTCAGTGCCCTGGGTGGTAACAACTTTTTCAATCCATTTTGAGTTCTAGTGTAGTCAGGCAAAGTTAAAAAAATAGTATAAGTAAAATGAGGAAAAATTAATGGAGAAAGTTTAGCTGAAAGGCAAGATAAAAGAATAAAGAACCAGGCAGAAAAGAAAGGAGAACCAGGCAGAGAAAGAAGGAAAGTCTAGAAGAAGAGAGTGAAAGAAGAAAAGTGCGTAGAAAACACAGAGTAAAAGCAGTACAGCACCCCTATGTTATTCCCAGATATCTGTAAGGTTTGATGAACTTCCCATAAAAAACATTGCATCTAAAAGAGTTGTTTAACACAACCCATTGCCCATGAGTTTAAAAACAATTCATTCAAGTAATGTGGTTGGGAAAGAACAACAACAGCAAAAATTCCTGCTATCAGAAGCAGCAAGGCAATTTAGATAAGCTTTTAATATTAACCTTGATTGATGATCTTGATATGGGGGTTTGGGTTGCTGGCAAGTTGAATGAGTGTTAGCAGTGCCCTGGCAGCAAAGGGCCAACCATGCCCTGGGAAGGACCAGGCACAACATCACCAACCCATCAAGGAGTGATTGCCTTTATCTGCTCTGTGCTGGTACAGCCTCACCTTGAGTATTCTGTGCAGTTTTGGGAGCCACAAAATAAGGACACCACACTGTTGGAGCATGTCCAGAGGAGGGCATCCAAGGTGGTGAAAGGTTTTGAAGGAAAAATGGACAAGGAAAGCAGCTGAGGTCACTGGGCTTGTTCATCCTACAGAAAAGAAGGCTGAGGGATGACCTCATCACAGTCTACAGCTTTCTCAAGGGGAGCAGCAGAGGGGGAGGTGGTGATCTCATCTGTCTGGTGACCAGTGACAGGACCCAAGGAAATGGAATGAAGTCAGGGGAAGTTCAGATTGGATATTAAAAAAAGGTTCTTCAGCAGAAGGGTGGTAAGTCGCTCCAACAGGCTTCCCAGGAAAGTGGTAAAAGTTCAAGGAGCATCTGATCATGCACTTAATCACATGGTTTATTTTTGTTTTAGGAGCCTTAAGAGTCCTTTTCCAGCTAGAGATATTTTATTACTGTATTAAACCAGAATACTAATACTATTACTTTATGGACTGGAAAAAGGTGCAGTAACTGAAATGGACTTAGAAGGGTGAAAGAACGTACTCTTTTACTTTAAAACCATTCTCACTTGTCCTGTCACTACATGACCATATAAAGAGTCCCTCACCATCTTTCTCAAAGGCTTCTTCAGGTACTGGAAGGCAGCAATTAAGTCATCCCAAAGTCTTCTCTTTTCCAGGCTGAAAAAGCCAAATACCCTCAATCTTTTCCTGTGGAAGAGGTGCTCCGTCCCCTAATCATTTTGGTGGCCACCATTTTGGTGACTCACTCTAAGAGGCTGATGTCCTTCCTGTGCTGTGAATTATAGCACTATTCATTGAATGTGAGATTTTATTCCTTTCAGAACTCAGAGCTTAAAATTGCAGCTTTTTTTTTAAAAAAATAATACTTATGAATACATATATATGATTATATATATATATATATATGTATATATATATATTTACACATACTTTCACAATGCCATCTGTCAAAAGGTAAATGAAAATTAAAATTTAGTGTGGAAAAATTCTAAATATTACCATTTTTTCCCCTAGAATCTTTGTAAATGAAAGCTGTATGAATACTCCAGGTGGGGTCCCACCAAAGCAGAGTAGAGGGGCAGAATCCCCTCCCTCACCCTACTGGTCACCACTGTTTTGATGCAGCCCAGAACATGTTTGGCTTTCTGTGCTGTGAGTGCACATTCCAGCCTCTCATCCAGAAGCATCACCAAGACAGTCTCAGCAGAACTGTTCTCTATCCATTCATCCCTCAGCCTGGATTGATACTGGGGGTTGTCCTAACCCAGGTGCAGCACTTTGCACTTGGTCTAGTTAAACGTCATGAGATTCTCATGGACCCAGTTCTTGAGAATATTCAGCTCCTATGTGTATTAGCATAATATTCGTGGAGAAAAAATAGTGTCTTGCCTATGATTTTTTGGTCTAAATAATATCTGATATTCTACTCCGCTGGCAGTAAAACATTATAAGAGTTTTCTTGAAGATTTTAAGTGATCAAGATTTGTTTGCTTCTTTTAATTAATAAACGCACTATCAGTGTTGAGGCAATTCTCTATCAAAAGTGTATATGAAAACAGTTGTGAAAGTAGCAAAGAAATATTCTATAATAAACTAAAATAAAATCTGATATCCTTTGAAGAAAGGTCACAACTCTAATCAGTAATATGGGCTACGTATAAAAGAAACCAGAAATTGCTCAGTTGAAATTAGTTGTAGAGAGAAAGAAGTCCCTTAATCTGAAGAAAATCTTTCTGGGTTCACAAACTCATTTTAAGCCATGAGTTACCTGGTATGAGTCTCATGGATGAAAGAGTTTATTATGTATTCTCACTACCAGATCCGAAGTTGAAAAGGTGACATCCTCAGCCACCTGACCTTTCTTGATTAATAAGTCAACATGCCTTTAAACGAAGATTTAGGGCTGTTTGGAGACTTCTGAACTACAAAAAGCAGCAGATCATTACAAATTAATTGATCTCTTTGATTTCTCACTTTTGATCTTCCATCTCAACCCTGGAATACAATAAGGATTTACAAAAGCTGTCACCTTTCAGAGTTAAGTGTAATTAGCAAGTTCCTCTCTCTTCGGTTCAACTTGCAGAGCACTTCCCAAGGTAAAAGTTAGTGTCTTGAAACTTAGTCTTTTGGTTATAGTAAGGTGATGAAATAGATGATTCAGTATTTCTGTTAACTATTGATTAGTTAACATAAAACACTTAAAAAAATAACCCTGTTTTTTTTATCACTATGTTCAAAAGCTTGTCTTGCTTCTGTAGGTGAGCTGCTACATCAGAGAACCTTTCTGCTCATTTAAGCCATCTTCTTTGATAGGTGGTACGAACCAGTAGGGATAAACCTCTAAGAAAAATGGGTAATGCTGAGGACCTTACATGTGTCTTATTTATTTTTCTTTTTTTTCCCCACTTTACACTGGCTTTTGGATGTTCCTGTAGTCTGGATGCTCCTTTGCAGCTGAAATCCATTACATAACATCTTTGATTTTCCTCACACAAACTGTGTAAAATCACTTATTTTTATACAAGTTTATGAAAGAGATTTAATCTTTCTGTTACTTATTTTCTGCCCTCCCTCTGTTGTTTTTTGTTTGTTTTATATTTGACCATATATATGCAGTAAGATTATATAATAAGTAACTGCTGAACATAAATAATGTGAATATAAAATACAATATATAACTGTTTGAAAATATTTCCACTGGTCATTAACTGGTGTATTAAAATTTCTGTTCATTCATTTGTCTTTTTTTTTTTTTTTTTTTTTTTTTTTTTTTTTTTTTGATGCAACCAAGGGTTTTGGCTTTGCTTTTGGCAAGTGATCAAATTGAATATCCATAGATGAATTTAAATGATGGCTAGTAAATCTGAAGCAACAGCTAATGCAAAATGAAATTAAATTAAATCTCCATGAATGAAATGGTCTCCAATGAAAATCTCCATCACATACCTAAATTACACCTCTGCTATCTGTGATCTCATAGGAAATCATCATGTTTTTCCTTTCTGTGATTTTTTTGATGCTTTTATTAAAGCATCTATGAAGAATAAAGTCACTTATTTATAAGTGGTCAGAAAAAGTACTAGAAGAAGATTTACAAATATAATAATATATAAATAAGCAAACATAGAAGTAAATGTTCTTCAATGATGAAAAAATAGTAAATTAGGTGTTTCTCATGGCAGCACCAAAGTCTATTTCTAAGTTCATCTTTTTGTCGTCATCCATTGATGTTTAGTCATTACATAAATATAAATGTGAACTGTTTATGAATTAGGATGTTGACTTCTAAAATTCATCACTGCTGGAGTTGAGCACAACATGAAAAGTGATAAAAGTACTATACCTGTTTAGTCATTTCCCATCTTTAGAGGAAAGATTATACATATATGTCTTCAATCTCCCCTACTTGCTGGTAAAATATAGCAGCTTAAAGCACTGTAAAATTATGAAGCTAATTCAAGCTGTCATGTTTTACTTAGCTATTGGGGTGAGATAAGAGTGCAAAAGCAATCAATTACCATGGTGGCTGATAAGACTTAACATGTTTATCTTCACTATATTTTTAGTAATAATTTGCCCTGCACAAACTAGCTAAGAATATACGAAAGGCTAATTGTTTTTCTCTTGGTTTCCATGTTGTCCAGTTGTAATTGTAGTGTATTTTATTAATATGTTTGTATGTCATGTTTTCAAATTAATCCAGAAATGTGGCCATCATAATGAAAGCACATGGTACACTATTTATATCTGTACCACATTTCTATCTCACGGTCATCTGTGAATATTGGGTCCTAACAAGACCAAAATTTCACTGTAGATGGTATTTGGAAGAATGCCTTAACTTAAAGCCCCAGTAATTACAGTCATACCTGATACTGCAGTGGTATTGATTTATCTATATCAGATCCCCAAACAGCAAGCTATGATCATTTTGTAGGTATTTTCAAAATATATTCAAAATATTTCTTTGGACATGTTTATCAACAAAAACATTGTATTACACAGTGATTTTATTACATATTTTTAGTGAGTAGCATGTTAAGCTACTAACAGTTTAGTAGATTATATTTAGTATAAATATAGATTGTCTAATGTCACATTCTATTTTTAAAGTTTATAATAAAGAAGCCTTTAGGAATGAAGAAGAGTACCTCTGGATTATGAAATGCCTGTCATTATTAAGTTGATGATTTGCTACTGAGAGATTATCTTGTTAACAGTTGGGACATCTGCATGATTGAAAGATTATCAGAAAGACTGAGTGATAATTTCCATGTCTGTTTTATAGTCATATGCTAAAGTACCACTTGGTTCGTATCAGAGGATGCAAAATCAAATTAGAATTAAATGTCATTCTGTGTTTTTCTGCCAATGTCCATTAATAATATATTCCTTCTAATAATTTTTAATTATTATGAAAATAATTTTAAATAAGTTTATAAATATGTGATATTTCTAATACATATATCCAAGCAAATTACACCAGTTTCTTACTTTTTTTTTTTTGCAGACTTGTCCTCAGTTCTGTCTCTGACTACTTTGCTGCCATGTTTACAAGTGATGTTTGTGAAGCCAAGCAAGAAGAGATCAAAATGGAAGGCATAGACCCCAATGCACTGTGGGACCTTGTTCAGTTTGCATATACAGGTATCGTGGTGCATACATTATAGACTTCCTATAGAGGCACATGTGGATATTTTTGTTTGCTACATTCCAGTTAATTGTATTTTTTATTTAAATATTTTTCTTTTTAATCTTAATCATCAAAAATGTTTATTTACAATTTCTAGGGACGAATTCAGATTGTTCTCTCATCTCCAAACTGTTTAATATTTCAGACTTGTCAAGTTCATTGGGACAGTCAAGAAAAGGATATATTTTTCTTGGTCTTCAAATAGTTAAAAAGAGTGTCTCATACCCACATGATTCAAATTACATAGGATCACTGAAGAAAGAGTTGTATTTTTTGAAGAATAATCCTATGTTGCTGTCTGAATCAAATCTCAGTTTAAATAATTGCATAAATCTTTAAAAATTTGAAAGAATAAAAAATTAAAGTTTAAATAAGAAAATGTTTTAAAAGGTTTTATTATGAGCCTGATGTTTTCACTTTCATTTCCTTTCATATGCTGGTACTCTGTTTTGAAGTGTGAGCTTACGAATAACTCACAATTCAGAGTTAATAACTCAAAGCTCTCTTCTGAATAGTTTTTACATTTTAATACATTATAGATTTAGGTTTTATCCTTCTTAAGCAACTTGTTATGCACATTGTAACTGAAGTACATTAATCTGACAGAAAGAATGCTAATGTTACAAAATAAAGTAATTAAAAGAGTGGAACTGCCTATAAGATTTACCTCGAATCACATAAGTATAAAATATATACTCTTTTCTATATGTTTCCTGAAAGACTTCCTTATATTGTTTAAATTAACCATATTTTATAATGATGATTCTATCATATATTTGATTTAGATTCAATTTTAAATCGATGCCCCAAACCCTGCAGTTTTAATCTGCTCTAAATACACATATAATAATTTAATCACAAATTCCTGTTTGCTTTGATATATTTAATCAGGATATGTTCTGGGTTTTTTATGACATAATAGCTGTACCATCTTAATAGAAAACAGAAGCGGCAAATAAGCATAATTTAAGCTAAAAATACTCTTTTTGAGAATAATGTTTGAGAAATAAATGTTCTAGGAAGGTAAGACCATGATTTAGGTAGTACTCTACATATTAAAAGGGTAATACCTACTCCCTCCAGCTGTGGCTTTGCCACTCAGGAATGTGCATCATCTGGAGGGTTTCAAGCTAGGGATCCATAAAATGAAATAGTTCACATAAGAAGGATACAATCTGATTCCTTGGTGAATGAATGGCACAGGAATACCGGGGCAAAATCAAGAATACCTTGGCACAGAACAGCAAAAAGACTGCGGGTAATGTTAAATCATTTTGTAGGAGGAAGGTTAAAGATAGAGGAGATAAGAGAAGGGACAGTGTTGTTCCCCTGGAAAGAAAACTGTGGAAATACTAAAGTACTGTATTGTACTTTTGTCTCAGTATTCATTAAAATATCACCCGGAAAGATACAAAAGAGTTGTTATTGACAGGAAGAGATAGCATGCAAGTGTAGATTAAGGAAAGGAAATTCAGAAGGATGGGGTGGGGGGGGTGGGGGGGTGGGAAACCATTTTCAAGATGAATAAAGCTATGTAAGAACTTTATGGTTATCTCTGAGAACTTTGGAGACTGAATGAAGCAATGAAAAAGTAGAAGAAGCAAGCTTCTGCTTACCAAAAATGTTTAAAATTTTCAGCTCCTTTATGCTCCTTGATTCTCTATGCCATGCGATGTACTCTGTTCATTATATGAGATGTAAAATTCAAAAGTTTCTTTTTGCTGTAAGGCAAATAAGGGCCAGACTTCACAAACGGATGAAAAGAGAGCTCCACAGCTAGTATAATTTGCATGTTTTCTAATTTGCCTCATATGACCTTGCATCTGTAATATTAATTCATTTAAACAGTCACACAGTCCAAACTGCCACAGAAATGGCAACATTATGTACTATTATAACATCACCTGGAAACATTAGAAACCTAAGATGATAACCAAGATCTCTAATATCATTCACTTGAAATGGTAACACACCATTATTCTTTTTTAATAACTCATTTTGGAAACCAAATAAGAGTTTAAAATGCCTTAAGTTTACACTTGCAAGTTTCACAAATACTTAAAGACAATAGAAGAGTGATGAGGGTCGGGAAACGTGAGAAAATTTTACATGCTGAAAGATTAAATATATTGGATGCCATAGATCATTATGGTTTTTATTACTCTGTCTTGCATTTCTCTTCCATCAGGTTCTTTATCCTGATTTATTCTTATTTATCCTCATTTATTCTTAGCTTGTGTCCTTATCTCCTGGAGTTCATTTGGGATTATTTCTTTCTCTATTCCTTTTCTGTGCATCACATATCTTAGCAGACACCTGAATTTCCTAGCTACAATTATGCTAATAAATTAAACAACACTGGGGAAGGTTTGCAGGCACTGGAACACAATTGTCTCTATTGATCCTGGAAGTTTTAGCCAAATCCAAATAGCTCCAAATCCAAATCCAATAGTTTCTCTAACAAATGGTGGGTATACCTTGGATACACAGCTCGTCATTAATGTGGCTAACCTTGCACAGAGGGTAAGGGCATTAAAAAGTGCTCTGGGGGATTCAGTGATAACTCACGTGATTCATGAATTCCTAGAAAACAGTCCCAAACTTATTCCGTTTATCGAAATTAAATACAATCTAGGATTCTCAGTTAATGACTCTGTTTTCCCTTGACCTTCTAGAGCAAAACCTTAATTTTTTCCCCATTTTGTTTTCATCATCTCAGATGATTTATCTAGATTCATAGTTTCTTATCTCCTTTCTTGCACTCTGGTTCCTTATTTACCACCAGTCTAGCTCATGTGCCTTTTCCCTTTGAGTCAGTTCACTTTCCTTATGCTGCATGGATGTGGATGGACAAGTGGAAATTTAAGAAAATAGCCACTGTTTGGATATCCAAAAGCACAAAGGCCAACAGAAATTCCCTTTCAGACTTTTGATTGCTAATCTGGAGCATACATCTGTCTAGATTTAGGCAGAAATCTGGAGAATCTGGCTGCCAGATTCTAATTACTGATTGCACAATGTGTGAAAAAGTTTTCAGCAACTCATGTCTGTGACCACTTTAGCTCTTTATTGTTTTACCTCAGGAATAGAAAACAATTTTGACAAATGGGCAGTTATTTACTCCTATTTTCTTTTTCCTGTCACTAACTTCTTAACTCAAAGAGCTTAAAAAAAAATCACCTATAGTTGCTGCTTGTTACAGAGAAGATTTTCCCTGGGGACTACTGAACAAATCAGAAAAAATACAGCTGAACATGGACTTGTTTGCAAAAATGTAGAAGCTAAGAGTATTACAGTGCAAATATGTTCAGATGTGATTTAAAAGGTGGAACAATTTCCACATCTTATTATCTATAATTCAGTCAAGTTTATATATTTTTTTATAATCTAGTAAAATTATAGCATTTTTACCTATGAATCATACATATTAAGGAGGAGGTAAAGAAGGATAAAATATATGTGTCTATCTAAAGCAATATTATAGGTGAAGATATCATAAACTGATGCCACAACCTCCACCAAAATAATCTAATATGGTTGCAAAACATCAGAATTAAAGTTCATCAAAGGGGAAATTTTGTACAGCAGACACATAAGGAAAAATAGTCCGGGGGTGCATCAGGCACAGCATCACCAGCTGAGCATGGGAGGGAATTGTCCTGCTCTGCTCTGCACTGGGGTGGCCTCATCTAGGGTCCTGTGTGTGGTTTTGGGCACCACAATATTAAGAAAGACATTAAATTATTAGAGAGTGTCCAAAGGAGGGCCACAAGATTTGTGAAGGGGCTTGAGTAGCAGCTGAGTTCACGTGGTCTGTTCAGCCTTGAGAAGACTGAGGGAAGACCACATTGCAATCTACAATTTCCTCATGAGAGGAAGAGAAGGGGCAGGCACTGATTTCTTCTCTGTGGTGACCAGCACAGAACCCAAAGGAACGGCCCATAGCTGTCTCAGGAGAAATTCAGGCTGCATATTAGAAAAAAAAAATTTCTTCACTCAGAGGAGGTTGGGCACTGGACGAGGCTCCCCAGGGAAGTGGCCACAGCATCAAGAGTGACAGAGTGCAAGAAGCATTTGAACAGTGTTCTCAGGCACATGGTGTGACTCTTGGGGTTGGTCTTGTGCAGGGCTTAGATCAGTGATCCCTGAGGGTCCCTTCCAACTCAGCTTATTCTGTGATTCTGTATGCAAATAGATTTCTAAGTAATTGGTGAGGTAGAATTACATGGTGGCCAGCAGAGCATTAAGTCTTGTACAGCCTTGATTGGAGCAGCTCCTGAGTGAAGGCACCTGCCAGTCTAAGAGTAGTAACTGGAAGACAGAAAATTAGACAACCAAAAGTGTTGATTTAAAGATAATAAAGGGTGTTGAAATTTCTGTGAAGATTCAGTGTGAATAATTATGTAATTTTAAAGTTATGTGATTGATGTACCTGTAAAACATAATTTCGTTAAAGGTGAAAAAATTGGCATGTGTTAAAATATGTACTATAAACTCTGTGTTAGGTGAGTCTTGGAGTTGTTTTGGAAGTGTTTGGGGATTTTTTAATATGTATATTTAACTTATATTTTTTGTAAACAAATTAATAATGTAGTGACTTCATGTTGTTTTATCTGAAATATGCACAAAGTTTTCTAATGATATGGCTACATTATAATGTAATTACAACTTGTATAATTCAAATTATGTAGATGATGTGAATTTATTAGAAAAATACTCCAACAAAATTATATGCTTCTTCTTCTATACATACACTCACAAGGATAAATCAAAACACCTTTACCACAGTTTTTTTGTAAAGGATATATTTGACCAGTAAAAAATATGGGACTTCATTAGTCTATCCACGCTTTGCTGCATTTTTTTTGGTTTATTCAAATAGACAAAGTATGTTTTGTCTGTGATATAGTAGAACTGTAACTTAATAGGAAACAAAATTTCCTCTTTTGCATAT